GATATTATTTCTTCTCCCCCACCTTTGTGAGTCTTCTTTAGCAATTTCTCCAACTCGTAAGCTATTGACTTTGATGTTTTCTTAGTTGAACGATGAACGCATTCCGGATTCCTTTGCTTTTCTTTTAGGTGTTTCATCGAGCACCTAGAGTGCATTGTTCTCCTCCTTTGTTTTTTGATTTATTTATTTGGAATTATCACCATTGGAAGCATACAATTCCAATTTAGCACAACCGACATGTTCTATCAAAGAAAGGGACAAATCTTGGTTAGATAGTTAGCACAATTGATTCACAATTAGCACAATTGATTCACAATTAGCACAATCGATTCACAACTTGTCTCCTGATGTACAGTTAGCACAAATACCTGAATCATTTTCCCTTTCATTCTTGGTCTATCAAATCCTAAAAATTGAACTCCATGGTCTGGGTTTGAGCTCTACAAAATTAATGGAGCTGAGGAATCAGTATACGGATCTAGAAATCTCGCTACTCCCAATTCAAGAATAAGCAAAAACGGTGAAGAGCGGGAACTTGGCGTGAAGTCACAAAGCAAACTACTTCACCTACATCGGTTTAGTCTTCGATGGTTCCAGAACCGGTCGGTTCTCCGACCTCGTCTCCCCCGAATCCGGTGACTGCTCCTCCGGCTCTAACGATTCGATTCTTGTGAGGGCCTCTCCAAATAACGTCATCATCTAGATCTAGAAGCATGAATCTAATTGACATGAAGGGGACTTCTTTGTGGTTGTTGTTCTTAATTTTCGCAAGTTTTCTTTGGTTTGCTTTTAGCCGAAGAAAGTGTTTTGATAAATGGCGGCTTTAACCTTCACAAACTCCATTTAGGAAGAAAATTAACGGGGGGAAAATGATGATAACTAAAATATTCAACTCAGTATGTGTGTTTTTTTAGGACGAGAGAGAGAGAGAGAGAGAGAGAGAGAGAGAGAGAGAGATTTTATATATTGAATAATTATATTTAATTTTTTCTTAAAAAAAAAGTGAAAACATCATAAATGGTCCCCGTGGTAGTGAAATGACGAAAATGCCCATTAGTTAACCGACAAAACTTAATGGAGTTAGCAATAAGGACCAATCGTCAAAAGTTTTGAAAGCACAGGGACCATCTATGAGGTTTTTAAACCACGGTGACTAAACTTCAGATTTTGGGAAACCACAGGGACCGTTTATGATGTTTTTTCGTTATTCTATTTAAACATTTTCAAAACCTAACAAAAGATTAATTTGTTTCACATATGAATATTACAAGGTATATTTACTTATGAATATTGAAGGTATTTTGACAAATATATATATATATATATATATATATATATATATATATATATATATATATATATATATAAAACTTTTATATGTTATTCACATATGAATAACATACAGACTTGCATATTTGTTTTGTGTTTTTAATAATCATATACTGATTCAGGTGAGAAAACATATTCATATGTGAATATAACGTGGTAATTTAGTTTATGCATTTCATCAAACAGTTGGAGTGCAAACAAGTTAACTATTTTAAAAATGTTAAAAACATTAAGTTATCAATTCCAAATCATCATATACTTCCGATTTCGACTTCAGATGCAACATCCTATCTCTGATCGATTTCTCAATTTGATTTTGATTTCCGAAAATCCGATTGGGAATCTGTGAGTATCGATTCTAAGTTCATCAATGTCGACTGTGATTGCGAGTCAAGAACTCCGATTTGAATTTCATGAACAGTGAAGAAATTCCGGTTTAGTTGGAGAAATCTGGATGATTATTGAAGGTTGGAGGAAATTTTTTGATGATGAACGAACAATTATCGAATTCTTTATAGTTACGTATTTGATATTCAAGGTTATTACGATATTTACAAGTTTGTCACCGTATCTTTTATGCTTAGATCAAATGAGTAACTGATAATGATTCCCTCATTCTCAACCTTTTTTATTTTCTCAATTGAACCCACCTCTCTCTCTCTCTCTCTCTCTCTCTATATATATATATATATATATATATATATATATATATATATATATATATATATATATATATATATATATATATATTAATTTAAACATTTTATCGTGATAAGCATTGGTATGGAACAAATTAATATTTATTATATATTATTTGTGATATTTCTAGATAAATAAGAAAACATATTAAGATTTGTTAGATTTTATAATTAAATGATAAATAAGGAAAAAACAAAGTCAAGTTTCAGAAAACAAATAAGTGGGCTGGTTTGATTAATAAATAAAAACATAGAAACTTAGTTGAAATTAAGGGAGTGTTCGGTACGGAGCGTTTAATAGCATTTAACTTGTAGTGTTTCACAAAACGCTTCGTTTAAAACAAAAAGTCTCATTTGGCACTACAAGCTTTTAGTGTTTAGTTTGATCAAAACGCTCCAAATCCAAATACTACTTCATGTAGCGTTTAACAAAACGCTACAAGCTACAAGCTACCCGCTACCAGCTAGTTTTGCCGAACACGCCCTAAATTGTTTGTTCTAATAGCGATGTAAAATAATTTTTTATTCCTTTTCGTTATCTTAACTTGTATATAATAAATAACATTCGTCGCTCAATCTTTCTTTCCTCGTAAAACAGTTTTAGTTATATAATGAACAACTAATTATTGAAAAACTCTAAGAAGAGGTGCGGTGTGGTACGGTGCGGTTTAACTCAAAACTACAAACAGCATTGCAAAGGTTTTAAACCGTGTTATACAGTGTAGTTTTTTGTGGATGATCTTACAGTTGTGCGGTTTATACGGTTTCAATTTAACACTTTTAGAATATTTTCTATAATTATCTTTTTGTTTTATCTTATATTAAATATTAAGTATTTTGTAAAATCTTTTGCAAATTATTTGTATTTTCGCATAAAATACGAAAATACAAATAATTTGCGAAAACACTAAAACACATTTTATCCAATTATTCATTACCACATCATTCGTATTATTTATCTAATTATAAAACATTATAATTATGATAAAATGTTATATATGTAATTTTTTAACCCCATCTTCAAATTCGGTTTCTCAACTATATTAACTGCGTTGCATTGTAACTTCCACACAATTGTGATTTCACCGTCAATTTGTAACTTGAAGTTTGATTATATTTTCTTGAACGTGTTTGGTTTTTTATTTTGATTTTTCACATATTGCCCTTCTTTCATTGATTAATGATTGCATCCCACCACGTGTTGGGAGTATTAATTTCCTATCATTTATCAATTGGTTTTTTCTTTGTTTTATATGTACTCAATTTCTTTATTTACATTACATAAGTTTGCGTATAAAAAGACATACCTACGACTTTGTATTATTAAATTAATAAGAAGGGATAATGACTTGAGAGGGTAACATACTTTTGAATTTGATCACATTTGGTCATTGAATTTTTTTTCGTGCTCTATTAACCCTTAAACTTGTTGAATTGTGCTAATTTTCCCCTTATGACCGGGTTTAGCCGGTTTCAATGGATTTATTGATCCTATGTGTCAGTTTGATCTACGTGGCATGTAGGGTTCTTGTTATTAAAGGAGGGGTGTTTGTTGTTCCTTTATTGTGCCCTAATACCTCGTTGCCCTAATACCCAATGGCTTCCTCCTACAACTTCTCATCCTCCCTCAATCGATCAAGCAAGAAATCCACAGTGAATGATCCAAAAACTTGTGATTGTGGGTTCCCTGCACGTATTCTAACATCAACAACACCAAAGAATCCAGGGAGGCATTTCATGGTGTGCAATGAGGTAAGCAATTTCACTTAAATTTTCCCTCTTTTCTGATTCATTTATTCCAGATTTGAAATCTCACTTTGAATTTTATTGTGGAAGGGTAAATGCAAATATTGGAAATGGTTAGATGTAGAACCTATACAGATGCCTCTAATGGAAGTGGTGGAGGGAATGAAAGCTGAATTTGTAGCATTGAAGACCGAAGTAGAGAAGGTGAAGGAAGACATGGAACAAATGAAGAGGAAAAGTACTCTGATGCCATTGCAATGAAGGAGAAAATATATAAGTTTACCATTGGATTTCTTTTTTTTGATCATCGTGTATATGATGAAATGAAGTCAAATGATGTATTGAAAGATGTTGTTTGAATAGAATAGAGTTGTTATCTTAACTTCTTGTTGGAATGGAATGAAGTAACATTGATCGTAATGGAATCACAAAGAAGTAATTTTGACTGGAATGTAATTATAAAGAAGCATACATATTAACTTTCATTGGAATGAAATCACAAAGAATGGAGCCATTATCTCAACTTCTTGTTGGAATGGAATGAAGTAACTTTGACTGGAATGGAATCACAAAAAAGTATTTTTGACTGGAATGGAATCATAAAGAAGCATACATATAACAATGAATACATATATGATTTTGACTGGAATAGAATCACAAAGTAGCATACATATAAAGAATTAGTTTTGACTGGAATGGAATCATACATATATGATTTAACAATGAATACATATAATAAAAAAGTAAGTGAATGTGGTGGTTGGATTCATTGAAATACTCCATTAATATTCGAAATTAAATAAGTTTTTGTCTGCATACACAAAAGTAGTTTCTAGGTAACACAAAAGATTCCTGCATAGACAAAAGAAGGGTCACCATGTGCCCATACACCTACTTGATAGTACCATAGAAAAGCATAATAAAAAGACTACTACTTTGTCTTTACATCACAACTGCCTTACAAAAGATATTCCTACCCTCCCACTACACACCCACTAAATTAATCAATAACTGAAGGGTTGTCTGCATTGCTCCCAACCCCAGGTATCTGCCTCCTTAATGCTTGTTTGATGATCCGTTCAGAATATTTCCTCCTTCCACTTCTACTAACTGGGACCCTTCTTCTTGGCATGGGGACTGCAGGTGGTGGTGGAGGAGGTTGTTGGGCTGCAGGTGGTGGTGGTGGAGGTGGTTGGACTACAGGTGGTGGTGGAGGAGGTTGTTGGACTACAGTGGTGGTGGTGGTGGTGGTTGGGCTGCAGGTGGTGGTGGAGGAGGTGGTTGGGTTGTAGGTGGTGGTCCTTCATTGCCCCTGGATAAACTTGGGTCTGCTCCACTGCCCCTGGATGAACTTGGTACTGCAAACAACAATTAAAATGTCAATTATTTGTTCAAATGATGTAATGTTTTTAAAAATACTCACCTGATGTATTGCTTTGCTGGTTAGATGGACACTTTTTCTTGTTGTGACCTGGTTCCTTACAAATACCATACTTTATCATGCTTCCCCTTCTTGAGACAGTTTGTCTACTTGGTCTAGTTAACTCTCGTTCAATTGCATCCCTCTTCCTTTTCACTGATGGCCTACCAGGTAATCTTCTTATTTTGGGAGGCAAAGGCTTATGGTATGGAACATCTGGCTACATATCACTACTATTGAGAGGATTAATGCTATATTTGTAGCATTCTAGGTAAGCCTCGGTAGTGTATGTTTGGGACACATATGTCTCTGCATCATGATTTAAGTAAGAGATTGCTGCCACTCCATGTAAGCATGGTATCCCTGTAAGTTGCCATATTCTACAGGCACACTTATTTGCAATTATATCCACTCCATATGCAACATCAGTGAATCTAACCTCATACTTTTGATAACCACAAGGAGTAACTCCCCACAATCTGTTTAAAGCAAAAAATATAAATCAATAACACATCCGCATAATTAACATAAGCATATTAAAGTAAAAAAACTTACCTCTGTTTAACCTTCAGCTCTTCTATACGCTTCCTAATAGTTGGGCATATAAGCAAATCCCATTCCATTCCTTCAACTCCCTGAGTGTATATCCTTTCCATCACAAATAACCTAATCTCCTCCAGCATAGTGATTATAGGTCTCCTTCTAGCATGCCTAATAGCAGAATTGAAACTCTCACTAACCCCATTCTCCACAGCATCACAATCTCTTCCTTCTTGAAAGAATGCCTTAGACCAGGTAGTAGGATCTCTGTCTATAAGGTAATCATAAGCATGAATATCAATAGATTTGATATGCTCCATTACACCTCTAAACTTCTCCACAGTACTAGCCCTTACAACCCTCCAAAATAACTTTAAGTATGCTTGACCGGTAAACCTTTTATTAAAATTAGCCACAATGTGTCTAGCATATTGCCTATGTTTAGCTTCTGGACATCTTTCCTTAACTGCTTGTAATAACCTCTACAAATCACAACATCATTATGAGTGAAAAAGCATAAAAATGACCTAGTACTAACCTTGTGTCCATCAGAAAGAAGGGTAATGTATGCACCAAGACCACCATTAATGTCATCCATAAGTAAATCTATGAACCACTTCCATGTTTCTTTATTCTCAACACATACCACAGCCCATGCTAAAGGGTAGATGTGGTTGTTTGCATCTCTCCCAACAGCTGAAAGAACTTCTCCTCTAACTATACCCTTTAAAAAGTAACCATCAAGCCCAATTACAGGCCTGCACCCTTTTAACCAACCATCCCTTACAGCTTTGAAACACACATAAAACTTGGAAAACAAAGTTGTGTAATCTGGCATGATGTCTACATCCAATCTCACAGTAGACCCAGGATTTGACCTGATAATTTCCTCACCATATGACCACAATCTCCCATAATGTTCAATTAAACTTCCTTCAATCTCTTGTAATGCAAATTTCTTTGCATTTATGCATTGCCCACACTCACATTTATGTTGAATGTTGTTGACACTTTAGCTTTCATCTTCCTTGCACTCATTTTTGGGTTCTCTATAATTTGACTCATAAAATGTTTCCCTATCCATCTATAAGTTACAATTGACCCAAACTTAAACACCCTACAACAATTATGTTCATTCACTAGAGATTTGATCTGAAAAGTCTTTTCTTTACTCATCCAGGAGGCCCATAGTCTGAAAGGGCAAGATGGTGACTTATTCTTTTTGCAACATTTCACTAACAATCTATTAGAGTCATTTTTTTCAAACCATAGATCATACCCATTAGCAACTGCATAATTGTTTAACATATGTTTAAGCTCAGTAGGGTTAGAAAATCACATAGCTATAGTTGGTTTCATCTGATCCCATGGCTGTCTCTCATCATACACAGGGTATTGGGGTGGCACGTATTCATCATCTTGATCTTCACTCTCTATAGGTTCACAAAGGATGTTTAAAAATCTATCATGTGCAGTTTTGTTTGCTGGAAATGGATAGGTAGCATCATCTTCTTCATGATCAACAAAATATGAATCTTGAATAACTGAATCCTCATCTTCATCTAAGTCTTTGTTTTCACTTTCACTTCCTCAACCTCAATCCAGTCGAAGATAGGTTCATTATGGTGATCCACATATACATTCATTCTCTTGTCATTAGCATACGCCAAATCCAAAAATTCCTTGTAATCACCCTCGTTCACCAGTGTATGAATTCCAATACCTAAAGACTATTATGGAAGGCAGAAATAGATTCTTTGCTTCTCGATTTGGTGAGCTTGTGAAGGAATTCCATGAATTGCTCATACCCAAACCCACTGAAGTCAAGATCTCGCACTGATGCTCTGTCGGGATCAAAGTAAACTAAGGGATTGGGGGCAAACTGACCATTGTAGTGGAAATCTACTACAATGAAGTTCTGATAAGTAGGATTTGGAGATGATGCCATTCTACAGAATGATTGAATGAGACGAAGGATTGATGGAGAATTTTGTGCCCTAGTCGAGTTTAAGGACCAAATGAGACTTCGGGGTGTGGTTTAACGAGAAGGAGACGAAAAATCGGGGCCTACATGCCACCTCTTTCGCCACGTAGGATACAAAAATACACGTAGGATCAATAAACCCTTAACCGGCTAAACCCGGTCATAAGGGGAAAATTAGCACAATTCAGCAAGTTTAAGGGTTAATAGAGCACGAAAAAAAGTTCAGTGACCAAATGTGATCAAATTCAAAAGTATGTTACCCTCTCAAGTCATTATCCCTAATAAGAATGAAACAAGTACATGTAAAATTAGAGAATGAAAAAAAAAATCATATATGGTCAGCTATTGATGATAAGTATAATTAATTATCTTGATACGCCATGTTTAACTAACAAAATTTTCAATTTTGGATTCTCTTAATTTGGCACACTTCGTCCATAACTTTAGTAATGTTTGACTTGTTTTTTTTAAATGACTGTTCAGAAATTGGAATTTGCTTTTATGAATACATTTTATATGTTAAGATTGTATTCATCGAAAGGCTCCCCTATCTATTAACCTCGACAAAAGAAGGCACAAATAGATATTCCATCTCATCCACCACCACTACAGCCGGTCTCTGAACCATCAATAGATAGGGACCAAATTATTACTGACTTGCAAAACGAGCATAGTGAATGCCGCGAGCATATGAGGTCACATGATAAGCGTTTAGAAGAGCATGACGCTACTTTAGCCATGCTTCTAAAACTTACTAATAAGACTTTTGAAGACGATGTTGGTACCTCGAAGGGGGTGGAGGTACATTGTTAATTATTTCACTCCCAGACAAATTTTATTTAACTTTATGGTGTTTATGTTTTTGCATTGTTTTTAATTAAAAACTATGGAACCGTACATGCACTTATCATGAAACATGTTGGTACCACATAGTATAATGATACGTGGGAGCATGATTATGGGTCAGGTACACCCAGAAAACCATTGAATCATAGCCTTAAGCAACCATCTACACGTATTCAATCATCCGATGTAAAAGAGATTGCTATATAAAACGTCGCCGACAGTACCTCTTAGGCGTTCTCTATGCCAAAAAGTTATCTCTATATGATATAAGTCCCCATAGATACAAATGAAGAAGAAAGGTGTTGCAAGCTAATAGCCAACATCGTTGGACAATCTTTTAGAGTCCAACATACACATCTATATAAAGAACGAGATGGTTCGTTGTTGTTTGCTCACCGCTCTTTGATTGGTATTATGAAGATTGAATTTTGGATGTGTTTATACGTGGATAGTCATGCAGGCTGGTTGGAATACGATGTAAGTTATATAATTATATGCTCATTATGTCCTACACGTCTAATAACAATACTTACATTATTGCAAAATTTGTGATTGTCAACACATCATGATGTGGATCTCACTACTGATAGAGCGTAGAGTGGATGATGCTTGGTGGACGGTTGTGCCGCCAGCTTTCAAAATGATGCATTTGACTAAAGTGATATGGTTGATGGATCTGTTTACCCAGCTTGGATAGATTGTGATTCGATCTAATTGTGTTTGGATCATATTACCTAAGTTATACTAATTTATAATATAATGTTATTTAATGATTAATTATTTCTAACATTTTATGTAGCTATACATCCCAATCAATATACCAATAGCTCACTGTTTTTTGGGTGCTTTAGATTTGAAGACATTCAAAATGACTATATACGATAGTAATTGTAAAGAGACTACTTTTCAGAAGAAGAGGAATAGTTTATATGTATGAGAGCCTGGATCCACAGACTGATGGTTGGTATCAGTTACTAGGGTACTGAACCAACCGACGCAATCATACTTGAGAGTTTTAACATGACCCTCGAAAAAAGCCCTAAATGTACCACAACAAACTGAAATTAGAGAGGATCGTGTAACATCCAGACGTCCAAGTATATTATTTATTTATGTTTTGGGAGGTACTATTAAGCAACTCGACGAGTTGGTGCTACAACTCATCGAGTAGGATCGTGATATGCCACGTGGATTAATGATCTACTCGACGAGTCCGAAGAGCAGACTCACCGAGTAGATGCTGTGAAGAGAAACCCTAACTCACCTTCACTGTTGGATCGATTTCCCGGGTTGGATGGGTCGGTTTATGGGCAAAAACCGAAACTGAGCCCAATTTTTCGTTTTTTTTTTTAAATTTAAAACCCTAACTGTCGGTTTTGATTCGGTTTCGGTTTCGTCGGTTTTTTGGTTTATTGGTTCGGGTTTGCTCATCCCTAATTTGAACATTGTAATATTATTTTAAACAAATCATTTAGGTTTAGGGATCCCTTAAGGTTTTTTTTTTTTTTTTTTTTTTTTTTTTTTTTTTTAAATTTAATTTTATTTATTATTTTTTTAATATTATATTTGCAATTTAGATTTTGTAGGAACAAAAAAGAACTTATATAAACAAAACCAAACATATTTTACAAAAAAAAAAAACCTTAATCCAAGACGACTGCCCGAAATACTACTTCGGTGTTCCAGAGACTTCTCCAGAATATTATATTCCGAAAAAATGATTAGTTTATATATATATATATATATATATATATATATATATATATATATATATATATATATATATATCTTTATCTTTACTACTTATAAAAGAAATCTAACTATTTCTATAAATAGATTGAATATAATAATATTATTTTTTTAAGACGTCCAAACTATTAAGCTTGAAGTACAACCCATTTATAATATAATAATATTAAAACTTTAACCATATCCTTTATCCCTTAAAAATCTCGTATCAAATTAATAGAAGAATTCATTTGCAAATTGAACCCGTCAATCTCAACATTTCAACCATTTGAAGCGGTCAATGTCAACAGTTTATAGAGGATCTCTTCTCTCACATTGGTAACAAACAATCTCATAATATCTATCTTCGTAATCCCTTCAAAGTAAGAAATATACGCACACTCTCTCGAAGAACCCTAACCAGTAACCAAGACAGTATAACCACCACCACCACAGCCGCTCTGCCTCCTTTCGCCTTCAATCAACCACTATCACGACTACCGCCCTTCCTCTCACCCACGACATGAACTTTCTTTTGGAACATAACATTTTCTTTAAAAAAATATCGTTGAAAGAAGCTATTTGTCCCCGCCGCTGTGCGCGGGTAACGGCTAGTATATATATATATATATATATATATATATATATATATATATATATATATATATATATATATATATATAAACGCCTCTCCTCTTAGAATCTAAGGAAAGTGGAGCGAGGAGGATTTTTCATTGATTTTTGTGGATTTTTCGTTGATTTTGAAAAATAAGAATTTTAAGATAGCTTTTGGTTTTCCATCCACTAACTCAATATATAATAAAATAATAATGAATTTTATACGGATTCCATTGCAAACATGGTTTTTTTTTACCTTCTCCACCGTCTTATTCTTCACGATTAAGCTGCTTCCATAGCTTCTTATAGGTTTCATGAGTCATACTTAGGCTTTCCACTGTTTTCATCTTGCCTTAGGACACCTATATCCGACTACTCTTCATTCCAGAGTTGGACATCATTCTTCTCTTCTGGCTTCCACTTTCTCGTTTTTCTCGGTACGTCTCCCAGATACCACCATTTCCTCTTCTTTTTCTCTCATCTCTTTCTTACCGGTGACTTCACCATCTCCATCACATTAACCCTACATTCCTATTGCATCACCTCTCTCTGTCTTGATTCCACGACCTTTCGATATGTTTCTGGTTTGAGTTCTGATTGCACTTCTCCAATTTCGTGTATGCAACACCTCTCTATCTCTATCTCTCAGTTGGTGAAGGGTATTTAGGGTTTAAAAATAATGTCTTTGAGTTTGGGTCTGTGATATAAAGATGGCGGTGTCTCCTTCAACCATCCACCGCCATGGGTGTCACCATGAGAAAAAGATGATGTCACCGCCTTTTATCTTCTTCAAGAAGCGGGCCTGGAAACATATTTTCTAGTGTCCATCAAGATTAATTTCTTTATTTAACTGCTTATACATACAATCGTTTGATTGGTGCAACATAACTTATGTTCTTGCCTATGATGTTGTACTGCCCACCATGGCTTATAAGTGGGGATAGTGGAGGCTTCACAATTTAGTAAGTATTATTTTGTACAATTTTGATTGAATTTTAGTTGAATTTTTCTTCTGGGTTTGTATTTTACTTTGGCTTTTCTTCGCACTTGAAAAAGACCGTGACTTCTTCAGTGAAGTTTAATCTCTGCTTCACCGCCTTTTCGACCAATTAATACATCTCTTCCACGGAGCTTAACATGTGGCTGCTGCAGACGCTTACACCCTGTTCCCGAGTTTATCAAAAGAAAATAAGAGAAGAGAAAAGAAGGTCACGAGAGAAAAGAAGAAAAATGAAAAGAAAACAAAATTTTCTTTTGTGTTCCCGAGTTGGAGATAAGTTGAAGGAAAATGAAGAATTTTGTTCTTTCTTTCCAAATCCTCCCAAATCGGAAGGAAAGTTAGGAGAGAAAGTGATCCTCCCATTTCCCTCCACTTCCTTCCACTTCTCTCCTTTAATGAAACTCGAGAACACCAATTTCTTTTATTTTCTTCTAATTTCCACTCATTTCCTTTCATTTCTCACGTTAAGTTGAACTCAGGAATCGGGGTGTTAGGAAAGCATGGCCTCCACCACCACCGATGCTCCGGTTACCAAGAAACCCTTGACGTTTACCGTTAGGCTTCTTCCCCAAGATACCACCATCTATACTCCTCGTTATCTGCCTCGCAATCATCTTCTTCCTCTGGTATGAATAAATTCTCATATGATTTACATTTTTTCATTTTTCTCAGAAGAAGACAATAAGGAAGATTGTGCGTAATCAATCACCTACTGGTGCTCGATTCCACCTCCACCTTCCCGTTGCCTATTACTTCGCTCTCCTTCATAACG